TTTAGTAGAGACAGGGTTTCACCATGTTGGCCAGTATGTCTTTAAACTTACTTACTTTAAACTTACTTCAAACTTAGCACCACTTTAGATGGTATAACCAGAAAAATTACTGAATTTAGGCCAGATTGGCCTCTTAAAGTAGCTATGTGGTATTGAGCAAGTTACATAGCTTTTATAAGCTTCCATTTTGTCCCCTGTAAAATGAGAAACATATTTATAAGAAATCTTGTTTGAATTATTTAAGGTAATATGTATAAAAAGTAAAATTCATTAAGTACAATTAAAAGGACTTGAAGTCAGATACGGTGGCACAGGCCTGTAGTCTCAGCTACTTGGGAGACTGAGCCCGAGGAGGGGCTTAAGCCCAGAAATTTGAATCCAGATTGGGCAACACAGCAAAACTCTTATCTCTTAAAAAAACCTGATAAATAAAAGGACATGAACTGTGTGTGAATGAGAGTGTAAATGAATAAATAAAGGAAGAGTGAAATCCAGACTGAATATTCAAGTCTATAAAACTACATCTAAAAGCAATAATGTAATGATAGTGTTTTTTTATAAATAAATACATATATATATAACTCCCTTGGCCTGATGCTGTGGCTCACTCCTGTAATCCCAACACTTTGGGAGGCCAAGGTGGTGGATTACCTAAGGTCAGGAATTCGAGACCAGCCTGGCCAACACAGCAAAACCCTGTCTTTACTAAAATACAAAAATTAGCTGGGCATTGATTCTCAGTGATTCTCCTGCTGGCACATGCCAGTAATCTCATCTACTCAGGAGGCTGAGGCAGGAGAATCGCTTGAACCTAGGAGGTGGAAGTTGCAGTCAGCTGAGATTGAGCCACTTCACTCCGGCCTGGGAGACAGAGCAATCCTCTGTCTCAATAAATAAATGAATGAATGAATGAATGAATGCTGGATGTGGTGGTGTGCTCCGGTAATCCCAATTTAGGAAGCTGGGGCAGGAGAATCACTTGAACCCAGGAGGTGAAGGTTGCAGTGAGCTGAGATCATGCCACTGCACTCCAGCCTGGCAACAGAGTGAGACTCCATCTCAAAAAAAAAAAACAAGAAAAGAAAAAACACTCTTTGTAGCTATTGGAAATAGACTTTTAGTTAAATTCCACCTCTCTCGTTTCAACTTAGATTAAGACAAATAAGTAGCCAAGTATTTTTAAGAGAATATTTTAACTACACAATTATGTGATAACATCTACAGATATTATTTTTAAATTTTAGGTAATGAATTCAAATCTACTTACATTTTATCTCTAACTGAGTAAGCTCCTTTATAAAAATATTTTTAGAATCATATAATGTTTAAGCTGGCAAGAACTGTGAATGGGAAACTGGGGCCCAGAAGACATGAATGATTTGCTGTATTAATTAGTAGCTGAGCTGGGACTTAGCTTCAGAATGTAAACGTTTGTCAGAATTAATTGCAGGAGTTGTCACAAGCAGACCAGGATGTGACTCATAGAGTATTGTGCAAATTAAGCTCTTTGTACCATATATGAAAAACATAGGTTGGTTTTGTTTTGTTTTGTTTTGTTTTCCCAATGGAGTCTCACTCTGTCACCCAGGCTAGAGTGCAGTGGCAGGATCTCAGCTCACTGCAACCTCTACCTCCTGTGTTCGAGTGATTCTCCTGCCTCAGTCTCCCACATAGCTGGGATTACAGGTGTGCCCCACCATGCTTGGCTAATTTTTGTATTTTTAGTAGAGATGGGGTTTCACCATGTTGGCCAGGCTGATCTTGAACTCCTGACCTCAGGTGATCTGCCCACCTTGGCCTCCCAAAGTGCTGGGATTACAGGCATGAGCCGCTGCACCCGGCAGTTTTTTGTTTTTTTTTAAGGAAGCTGACTTTGGTATTGGTTGGACATGATCTCCAGAGAAGTATCTGTCTGTGTTAGAGTGTTCTGGTTTGCTGTTTCCAAAAATATTTTTCTGAAATACTACTATAATCATGTGACTTGCACTGACAGTGTTGATGTTGATTACTAATGTATATTTTCTGTTCCTACAAATGTGCTTTTTCTTTTTAATCCCTATATGACCTCAAGCAAATCCTTAACTATTTCCATTTTTTCAACTAGAAAATGTGGCATAGTACTACCATGATTATCTGTAATCTCTAAGATGCTGTGCAGACTCTACATGGAATTTATTTAGTGGATAACTAAATCTCTTTGTGTCTTATTGCCAACCTAAAAATAAAAACAAAAACAAAACATAGCCCTTTATTTATTTTTGCCGAAACTAAAGATGTATGATGTAATTATATGAAGAAAGGGAAATGTTGGCTGAAATGACAGGGGACTCTTACTCAGATTTATCTGGAACTAAGCATTAATATATGAAACACTTAGCATAGATATGTGATGATTTAAATGAAAGAACGTGTGAATAAATACATGAAAAGTAGAGAAAAATATCTACAGATTGTTTTTTTTTTTTAAGTAAATTGTCTAACAGTTTGCGTATATACATATATAATACCTCTGAAAAGAATTTATTCAGTTACTTTGTTCTGAGGCACGTGGTGTATATAAGAATGAAGGAGGCCGGGCGCGGTGGCTCAAGCCTGTAATCCCAGCACTGTGGGAGGCCGAGGCGGGTGGATCACGAGGTCAAGAGATCGAGACCATCCTGGTCAACATGGTGAAACCTCGTCTCTACTAAAAATACAAAAAATAGCTGGGCATGGTGGTGCATGCCTGTAATCCCAGCGACTTAGGAGGCTGAGGCAGGAGAATTGCCTGAAACCAGGAGGCGGAGGGTGCAGTGAGCCGGGGTCGCGCCATTGCACTCCAGCCTGGGTAACAAGAGCGAAACTCCATCTCAAAAAAAAAAAAAAAAGAATGAAGGAATACAAATGATGTCATGTAATATATTTTGCATGTATTTTCCATTGAAATCTTAAAGAATTACTGTTTGCCGGGCGCGGTGGCTCACGCCTGTAATCCCAGCACTTTGGGAGGCCGAGGCGGGTGGATCACGAGGTGAAGAGATCGAGACCATCCTGGTCAACATGGTGAAACCCCGTCTCTACTAAAAATACAAAAAAAAAAATTAGCTGGGCATGGTGGTGCGTGCCTGTAGTCCCGGCTACTGGGGAGGCTGAGGCAGGAGAATTGCCTGAACCCAGGAGGCGGAGGTTGCAGTGAGCCAATATCGCGCCATTGCACTCCAGCCTGGGCAACAAGAGCGAAACTCTGTCTCAAAAAAAAAGAATTACTGTTTAAGTCTAGATTCTGGTACCAGTCTGGCTAATTAGCTGTGAAATTTTTTGTATGTCTTTTCACTTATTTTGTCTTTCATTTTATTCTTATAAACAATGGTTTTTATATATCAACTATAAAATTTGAAGATTATGTGCAATAGCAGATGTTCATGGAGATCTTCAAATGATAATTATTTTAGTTGAATATCTGCTCACTTTGATTAAGATTCACACATTATACCTAGTTCATATAGTTTTGTCCTCTTTTCTCCTAAGATCTCAGTGGTTCAATAGCATCCCCAGATGTCAAATTAAATCTTGGCGGAGATTTTATCAAAGAATCTACAGCTACTACATTTCTGAGACAAAGAGGGTATGGCTGGCTTCTGGAAGTTGAAGATGATGATCCTGAAGATAACAAGCCACTCTTGTATGTAAAAATAATATGTATTTTTTGTTTTTTTTAGAGCTAATCTGAGGGATGATTATATTCTTTCTTGTTATTTAGCAAGAAAACATTAACCTTTTTGGTCAAAAGCTATAGGAGTTGTCAATTTTACTAGTAATTTAAAAAACTAAAATAATGAGAGTATTTTTTTTGACAAGTTAAAAGACAAAAATTAAAAGAATGGTAATCCTCAGCTGGGCGCAGCGGGTCACGCCTGCATTCCCAGCACTTTGGGAGACCGAGGTGGGTGGATCACCTTAGGTCAGGAGTTCAAGACCAGCCTGACCAACATGGAGAAACCGCATCTGTACTAAAAATACAAAAAATTGAACCTAAAGAGCTTTTAAATAAAAAGAAAAAGAAAAAAAAAATACAAAATTATCCCGGCATGGTGGCACATGCCTATAATCTCATCTCCTTGGGAGGCTGAGGCAGAAGAATCGCTTGAGCCTAGGAGGCGGAGTTTGCAGTGAGCGAAGATCTCACCATTGCATTCCAGCCTGGGCAACAAGAGTGAAACTCCGTCCCCCACCCCCCTCCAAAAAAAAGAATGGTAGTCCTGTAACTAACACACACACACACACACACACACTCCCCTATTCCAGCTTACCAGGTCTGTCAACTATCTGAAGTAATCAATCAATTTTAAAAAGGAAGGCTCTTAGGTACTTGCTGTTGAAATTAAGTTTCAGACAAATTAAGATTTCCAAAAAGATTACCTCTCCAAAATCTCTTCAATATAGAAATTCTAGAGCTACCACTGGGAGGAGAGCTACGAATAAAGGGGTTTTCACATTCTTTATAATACCTGAAATTTTGTGATTATCTGGAGATGAAAGTAAAGAAATGAATAGTTTTGAAAAGAAGAACCTATAGCTTTGCAAAATTGAGGCATTTCCAGGTTTTTCTTTGTATTAATTATCAGTAGAGTAAGTGCTGAAGCATCCTATGTTTCTTAATATTACCATATATCGGCCAGGCACAGTGGCTCACATCAGTAATTACAGCACTTTTGGAGGCTGAGATGGTTGGATCACTTGAGGTCAGGAGTTCAAGATGAGTCTGGCCAACATGGTGAAACCCCATCTCTACTAAAATACAGAAAAATTAGCAGGGCATGGTGATGCAGGCCTGTAGTCCCAGCTGCTGGGGAAGCTGAGGCATGAGAATCCGGGAGACGGAGGTTGCAGTGAGCCGAAATCACGCCACCACAAGCCAGCCTGGGCAAGAGAGCAAGACTCTGTCTCTAAATAAATAAATAATGCTATATCATCAAATCTAAGACACTATTGATTATAAGATGAGGTTATTTTACATATTAATTAAACAGAAAAGTGCATAAGACAGCATAAAGCTGGGACATCAAAGGGCTGTAGTGTGAGGATGAATGATAACCCACAGCATAGAAAGAGATAGCAAGGAAGCTTACTTCATTTTGGCAGTGGATAAGATGTTGCAAGAAGGAATTTTCCCAGAGAACGCAAAACCCACACTGGTTTTTATATAGGTTTCCAATCTGAATTGGGCCCAAAAAGTCTCAAGCAGAAAATTTTACTTAAAGTTTTCTTAAATTGATATTGCCCCTAGGAGACTGGCAAAAGGAAAGGTAAATATTAGAAACACCTGGTGTCACTCCAGGCTTACGATTGTAAGACGCCGGCGATTGAGATACATCCCACATTTAGAGATGTTGGAATTTTTTAAATGTACACCTTGGAATTAGTGAAATGTGGTACTTCAAATGCAAATGTTTTGTTGACCTGTAGAGATCATACTGTCTTATTTAAAGTTTTCTTAATTTTTTTTTTGCAACTGTTTTAGTATTTAGAAATGTCTGCCTTTTGAGAATTTTTATTTTAAAATTATAGGGAAGAATTGGACATCGATCTAAAGGATATTTACTACAAAATCCGATGTGTTTTGATGCCAATGCCATCACTTGGTTTTAATAGACAAGTGGTGAGAGACAATCCTGACTTTTGGGGTCCTCTGGCTGTTGTTCTTTTCTTTTCCATGATATCATTATACGGACAGTTTAGGGTAAGTATATCTTATTTTATACAAATTCTAAATATTTTGAGAGTTTCAAAAATTAAATATAAAATATTAACTCTATAATATACTGTACTATATTTGAGAAATGCTTTACCTTTGCCCATTATTTCTCACTTGTTCATTCCTAAAACTGTTCCATAATTAAATAAGTGAGGCGTACCTTAGATTAATGTTTTCAAATTATTCCATGTCATGATTGACATAGAAAGTATTAATATTTTTGTGGCACACTGGGGTAGAATGCATAGAACCACTCCCAGCTAACCAGAAGTCACCAGAAGGGCTGCTTATGCCCCTTCTGATTTTCCCCAGAGATGAAGAGTTTTAAATGTAGTACTCATATTCATATTTCTACCTTTTATTCATTCATAATTCTGTTCTTAAAATGACATTACTTTAAATGAATTATGAGAAGGATTCTATCAGTATTTGTTTTTATATTACTACTGGTATTTTAATCACTGTGTCCTACTTTCAGATACTTTATCACCAAAACACAACATATATGCATCACTCCCTCATGCCAAGTTTAAGGCTTTGAGGGGGCAAAAAGTTGCCCTTCACCACAGGGATTTGGAAATGAATGAGTTTCTGGTGGCTGCTGTAATAAATTGCCACAAGCTTAGTGGCTTTAAACAACACAGATTTATTGTTTTACAGTTCTGAATGTCAGAAGTCCAAAATAAGTCTTAAAGGACTAAGATCAAAATGTCTATAGGGCTGGGGCTTCAGGGCAGAATCTATTGCTTGTTTCTTTAATTTCCAGAGGCTGTCAGCAATCCTTGGCTTCTGGCTGTATCACTATGATCTCTCTTTCCGTGGTCACATTGCCTTCTCCTTTATTGTACTTAAATCTCCCTCAGTTTCCATCTTTTTTTTTTTTTTTTTTTTTTTTTTTGAGACAGAGTTTTGTTGCACGGGTTGGAGCACAACGGCATGATCTCGGCTCACTGCACCCTACACCTCCCAGGTTCAAGCAATTCTACTGCCCCAGTCTCCCAAGTAGTAGGGATTACAGGCATGCACCACCATCCCCAGCTAATTTTGTATTTTTAGTAGAGATGGGGTTTCAACATGTTGGTCTGGCTGGTCTCGAACAACCTCAGGTGATCACCCTGCCTTGACCTCCCAAAGTCCTGGAATTACAGGCATGAGCCACAGCACCCAGTCTCAGTTGCCATCTTTTAAGGACAATTGTTATTACATTTAGGGCCCACCAAGGTAATCCAGAATAATCTCTCTATCACAAGATTCTTGGTGCATTACTATACTATTCTTATTAATATTTACCCTAGATTAGTAGTTTATATCAGATAGTCTGTTAAAGTGTTGTAAAGACCATTGAAGAAGGTGAATGGGGACTCTGGTCTCCTGCCTATTACCAGTTCTTCATCTAGAACATCTCTAATTTTATCTGTTTTGTATAATCTTTCATTTTAACAAAGGGTTCTAAGGTTAAAAGCAGAAGGTTACGATACCATCATAGGATGTCACTCAGTTTGGATTTGCTTGATGTTTTCTCATGATAGAATTCTGATTATGCATTTTTGGCAAGAATATCACAGAAGCGACATTGTGCCCTTCTCTATATACTAACAGGGAGTATGTGATACTGATACGTCTTATTATTGGTGATGTTAACCTTGATCACTTGGTTAGGTGATGGGGTAGTATCTTCAATTTATCCAGTATAAAGTTACTATTTTTCTCTTTGTAATTAATAAATATCTTATAAAGGTGCTTTGCAACTAGGCAAATACCCTGTTTCTCTTCTAACTTTAGCCTACTAATTTTAGCATCCATTGGTAGATCTTGCATGCAGTAATTATTACTATAATGTTTATAGAATCATGAGTTTTCTGTTTCCCTCATTCATTTTACTCTTTGAGTTAGAATCCAGTACTGTCATCATTTATTTTATTACTCAGATTTTTCAAGCTTTAACCATTGGGAGCTCCTTCAAGTTGCCTTCTGTCTCCTTTCAACATATCCCATTCTTTTTTTGAATACTTCCTTTCCTTCTTACTTCACATGGTGTTCTGGGCTAATCTTGTATTTTGCCTGTCCCAGCCTTGGAATCAATCATTTCTTTAAGGAGTCCTCTTTCTTTTAATTAGGAAATAATATTTAGAAACCAGTTTCTGGGGCTGGGCATGGTGGTGCACTCCTGTAATCCCAGCACTTTGGGAGGCTGAGGTGGGAGGATCACTTGAGCTCAGGAGTTTGAGACCAGCCTGAGCAACATAGTGAGACCTGGTCTCTATTAAATAAGTAAATAAACAAACAACATAGCAAGACCTTGTCTCTATTAAATAAAATCATAATTAAATTAATAAATAATAAAAGAAACCAGTATCCGGGCAATAAATGTGCTTATGTGGCTCCTGGGGTGTTATTTCTTGACCATCCCAGCAGACAGATCTTGAAAATATAAATATATGTATGTATCATTACACTAAGTTTGAGTAGTTAAGATTGTCTCAGATGGCTTCCATATTTCTGTTACTTGAATAAGTATGTAATGTAAATTTTGAAGACTTCCAGAGAAGATTAGTAACTTGCTTCAGAAATAAATTTTTCTTGCAGGATGCTGTAAGCCAGGGGGTTGGTAGTAAACATTGTTTTTTCCAATAATCTTTTATCATAGATTTTGAAATACTGAGGTTTCTTTAGGCAGTTAGTAATTGCTAAAATTTTAATTTGGATGTAAAATTGTATTACATATTGTATTCGCCTCCCAGGTTCAAGCAATTCTCCTGCCTCAGCCTCCTGAGTAGCTGGGACTACAGAGGGGTGCCACCACACCCGGCTAATTTTTATATTTTAGTAGAGACGGGGTTTCACTATGTTGGCCAGGATTGTCTGGATCTCTTGACCTTGTGATCTGCCTGCCTCAGCTTCCCAAAGTGTTGGGATTACAGGGGTGAGCCACCATGCCTGGCCTTGTATACATCGTATTCTTATTAAGTTTTGGAATGATACCTGAGAGCTCATATAACCTCTCTATGACCTGAACTTGAGTGTGCTAACTGTCATTTATGGCAGAGAATTGAATTCCTGGAAAATTATCAGCTTATTTTATGTGAAAATATTAATTGCATGATTTTTCCCTCTAAGGTGGTCTCATGGATTATAACCATTTGGATATTTGGTTCACTAACAATTTTCTTACTGGCCAGAGTTCTTGGTGGAGAAGTAAGTAGTTAATTTTGAAAATAACCTTTCTTTTTTATGATGAGTTTAATTTTTGATACTGTATATATCATCATTAGCTATACAAGAAAATAACTGTTTCTTGTCCCAGAATTGCTTTATGCTAGTTCCTTTAAGATGATCAACATATTATTATTGTGCTTACTCAATCAATGGTACACGAAATGAGGAAAAAGAAAATATCCCCTCCCATTTCTGAAGTAAATGCAGCCTATTTTTTATTTATGAATTTTTTATTTTTAGATGGAGTCTTGCTTTGTCACCCAAGCTGGAGTGCAATGGGGCAACCTCGGCTCACTGAGACCTCTGCCTCCCAGGTTCAAGCGATTCTCCTGCTTCAGCCTCCCAAGTAGCTGGGATTATACATGTGCCACCACGCCTGGCTAATTTTTGTATTTTTAGTAGAAATGGTGAAACCCCTCTACTGAAACCCCCAACCTCAAGCGATCTGCCCACCTTGGCCTCCCAAAGTGCTGGGATTACAGGAGTGAGCCACCACGCCCAGCCAAAATTTATTTATTTATTTTATTTATATATTTATTTTTATTTAATTTTTTTAAGATGAAGTTTTGCTCGTTGCCCTGGCTGGAGTGTTAACAGCACAATCTTGGCTCATCGCAACCTCCACCTCCCGGGTTCAAGCAATTCTCCTGCCTCAGCCTCCTGAGTAGCTGAGATCACAGGCATGCACCACCACGCCCGGCTAATTTTGTATTTTTAGTAGCAGCGGGGTTTCTCCATGTTGGTCAGGCTGGTCTCGAACTCCTGACCCCAGGTGATCTGCCTGCCTTGGCCTCCCAAAGTACTAGGATTACAGGCATGAGCCACTGTGCCTGGCCTATTTATTTGTTTTTGAGATGGAGTCTTGCTCTGTCGCACAGGCTAGAGTGCAGTGGTGAGATCTCAGCTCACTGCACCCTCTCCCTCCTGGGCTCAAGCAGTTCTCCTGCCTCAGCGTCCCAAGTGGCTGGGATTACAGGAGCCCACCACCTCACCCAGCTAATATTTTTTTGAGACAGTGTCTTGCTCAGTCTGCAGGCTAGAATGCAGTGGCACGACCTCGGCTCACTACAGTCTCCACCTCCCAGGTTCAAGCAATTCTCCTGCTTGAGCCTCCTGTGTAGCTGGGACTACAGGTGCACAGCACCACACCTGACTAATTTTTTGTATTTTAGTAGAGACAGAGTTTCACCATGTTGGCCAGGATGGTCTCAGTCTCCTGACCTTGTGATCCACCCACTTGGCCTCCCAAAGTGCTGAGATTACAGGCATAAGCCACGGTGCCCAGCCTAATTTTTGTATTTTTAATAGAGACACAGTTTCAATCATCTTGGCAGGCTTGTGTTGAACTCCTGACCTTGTGATCCACCCGCCTCAGCCTCCCAATGTGCTGGGATTACAGGTGTGAACCACTACACCCAGCCTTATTTTTTTTTTTTTGAGATAGAGTCTTGCTTTGTCACCCAGGCTAGAGTGTAGTGGCACAATCTCAGCTCACTGCAACTTCCATCTCTCAGGTTCAAGTGATTCTCCTACCTCAACCTTCCGAGTAGCTGGGATTACAAGCACGCACCACCCCGCCTGACTAATTTTTGTATTTTTAGTAGAGACAGGATTTCACCATGTTGGTCAGGTTTGTCTTGAACTCCTGACATCAGGTTATCTGCCTCAGCCTACCAAAATGCTAGGATTACAGGCATGAAGCACTGCACCCAGCCGGAATTTATTCTTACAGAAATTCTCAAACTTTTTGATCTCAGGTTGTCAAAGAGATTTGTAACAATAAACCAACTACATTTTAAATGTATTTTTCTTTATATTTAAAGAAAAATAACTATATTTTTCAAAACAGAAGAGTAGTCTTGTGTTACCTTTTTGTTTTTTTTGTTTTGTTTTGTTTTGTTTTTTTGAGACGGAGTTTCACTCATGTTACCCAGGCTGGAGTGCAATGGCGCAATCTCGGCTCACCGCAACCGCCGCCTCCTGGGTTCAGGCAATTCTCCTGCCTCAGCCTCCTGAGTAGCTGGGATTACAGGCACGCACCACTATGCCCAGCTAATTTTTTGTATTTTTAGTAGAGACGGGGTTTCACCATGTTGGCCAGGATGGTCTCAATCTCTTGACCTCGTGATCCACCTGCCTCGGCCTCCCAAAGTGCTGGGATTACAGGCTTGCGCCACCGCGCCCGGCCGTGTTGCCTTTTTGTAAGTAGCTTTAATGTCTGGTTTAATGGAAATTGGATTCTAATATATACTTTTTCCATTCAATCTGTTAAGATACATTGTTTTGGCTAAAGTATCTGAAGAAAATAAGGCCTTATACAGGTATACAATCGGAAAGGGAGAGTATTTTAATAACCTTTTCCAATTATTGTGAATATTCTCTGATATTATACCAAAACTCAAGGAGGCTGGTTGCTGTGGCTCATACCTGTAGTCCCAGCACTTTTGGAGGCTGACACAGGAGGATTGTTTGAGCCCAGGAGTTCCAAGACCAGCCTGGACAACACAGGGAGACCCTATCTCTATAAATAATTTAAAAATTAGTCAGGCATGATGGTGTGTGCCTGTGGTCCCAGCTACTAGGGACTGAGGCAGGAGGCTTACCTGAGCCTGGGCGGTTATGGCTGTGGTGAGCTGTCTTCATGCCGCTACACTCTAGCCTGGCCGACAGTGAGATCTTGTCTCAAAAATAAATAAATAAGGAATTTTGAGCTAGGTGTGGTGGTACACACCTGTAGTCCCAGCCACTTGGGAGACTGAGGTGGGAGGATCACAGAGGATAGTCCGGGAGTAGTAGTAGTTTTTTTATTTTGTTTTAAAAAATGAGTTTCTTTTTTCCCTTCTATTTCTAATTTCGGAAGTGAGTATTAGCTATATATGCTCAATCCAGCATCTTAACAAAACTCTTGAATAAATTTAGAGTAACATCTGTGAAACTTTAATACTCTGCATATGGAAATTTAAAAAATAATTCTAATAAACACTTAACATTGTATTTGTTTATATATTATTTCTTATGTCCTAGACAAAACCTAGTATAATATTTACATGAAAATTACATGTTTTGTTAATTCAAGACTAAATTAATTCAAGACTAATTTGATGTAGGAGTTTAGGGGCCTAGATTTTAATTTGAATACTGACACTTTACTAGCTTTGCTTAATCAACTTATTCACAATAGGGACGATAATGTCTATTCATAAGGTTGTTATTTCATTTGATTTCCATAGCATGTGAAGCCCTATTACAGAGCTTGGCATAAAGTAGTCACTAAAAAATATTTTTCTCTTCAATCTCTCCTGGTCACCTTCCTTTCCTTCTGGTCTTCATTTGGAACATCCATGTTCTCTAGACCTTGGATTTTTTATATGAATGGGATGGTTGTAGTGCCTTTAAGTAATTCTACAATTTAAGGGAAATAGTGACAAAATGTATTGTAGAGATATACTGAGTTAGTATGAAACTCAAGAGAGAGATAAATGCTGTAAATGTAGATTTGGGTATTATCAGCAAATTTATGATAATTGTAATTGTATTGGTTGGTGAGACTATCCAGGAACATGGGAGATTATATGATAATTTGAAATGATAAGTATAATAGTTTATTATTTCTTATTCTCACATTTATTTAAATACAGCAAGGAATATATGGTGTTCAGTTGTGATTAAAATGAGTATCTTGATTTCTATGACATTTATTTGAAATTTTCAAAATTCACAGGTTGCATATGGCCAAGTCCTTGGAGTTATAGGATATTCATTACTTCCTCTCATTGTAATAGCACCTATACTTTTGGTGGTTGGATCATTTGAAGTGGTATCTACACTTATAAAAGTAAGTTAAGGATTATGTATTACATGAAGTAGTTTACTGTTTTCCAATGTCCGAAGTATATGAGGCCTCTAGCTAGGAATGTTGTAATATAAAGCTATTTATCAAACAGTTGGTAGTATTTTGGAAGTTATCTTCCTTACTGATTTCACCAATTACATTTCTTTTATTTTTTTTTCCTTTTGATCACCAGATATTACCATTTGTCTGGAGGGAAAAATAAAGAGTAAATCAGGTTTCAGTATATAACAGTCAGACTTACTTATTTTTTTTTTTTTTTTTTTT